CTGCAGAGGGGTGGCTCGGTGGGGACAAAAGGCTGGGAGGATGGAGGGATGTCCAGAGCCACTGGGAGGAATGGAACTGCTTTCCCTCTTTGTCTGGGGCAGGGGAGGGCTTGGCTTTGCCTGCAGCAGGGATTAGCTGTGCAGTTCTTTCTTCTTCCCCCTCCCAGCTCCCTGGAAATTGCCTAGTGGGGAGAAAAAAAAAAAAAGAAAGGAAAAGGGAAAAAAAAAGAAGGAAAAAACCACATTTTCTTGATGCAGAATTAACAACTGAGAGGTGAAGTTTCAGGGCTGGTTGGTGCAGCTGCAGGGGATGGCTCAGCTCCTCCTCACAGGTGCTGCAGGTGCAGGGTTGGGCTCTCCCTGCAGTCCTTGCAGATGCTCTCCCGGGGGACAGGGTGGGGAGGGATGCAGGAATGGCTGGACCAGTGCAGGATGCTGGGTATGGAAAATCTTGGGCGTGGGGGAATCTCTGCTGTGGCTTGCAGAGCGAGGTCGTTGAAGTTCCCTGAATTCCTCCAGGTCTCCACCTTCCCCAGTCTTTGAGGAAACAAAAGGAGGCTCTTTAAAGCACTCCCTCTGGCAGGAATAAAACACCTTCCTTTGCAGAGCCGGCTTCATTGCTTGAAGTCAATCCCTTTGGGCTTTGTATTTTCCTTCTTGGAAGCTGAGCTCCCTGTGGGGAAGAGAAAAAACATCTGAGGTGCAAGAACAGGGATGGGGGGGATGGGGGGGCCTTCCTGGGAAGTGCAGGTTGGAGGTGGAGGGAAGGATGAGGGTCCAATGTAGGAGTCTGGGGGTGAATGCTGACCCCTCACTGTGCCAGAGACTCCTGCAACCCATCCTGCAAGAGCTGTTGTTAGGTAGGGTCACATTCAGACTGTCTCTGTTGTACTGATGGCTGGGAGAATCCTGCTGGAGTGGGAGATGCCCCTGCATGTCCTGCATGTGCCAACCCCTACTCCTCTCCTAAAAGAGGGAAGCTGACTGTGGGAAAGGACAGCTGGCTGTGTTTTGGCAGGGTCACCCATGCTGGTGTGGGTCTGGAGGGGTTGTGTGTTGCTTCTATCACCCCTTTTTCTCCACCCTGAGCTGCAGCTGCTTGGATATGTGCATTTGGAGAGAAGGCATCCAAGTGGTGGCATGGACTTGGGACTGACTGGGGGAGTCCCCTTGGATCCCACCAGCTGTGGGACCATCCAGTCCCAGGTTTCTCTCCAAAAGCCTGCTGAGGGAAGACTCATTTTGACCACTGGACTCAGAACATCTTTGCAGCCTCTGGCTTTCCCTTCCTGAACTCCATGGTGGCTCTCAGAGAGCAGGGGCTTCTCCCCTTGACCAAGAAAGGGCAGGAGGCACAAGGCACCCTTGGAGCTGCTCCCTCTGCCTGGGTCAGGGATGGAGAAGGGAGGTGAGAGAGGTGACCCATGAGCAGTAGGAGCTGGATGCTCAAACCACCTCTCAGAGCCATTCAGGAGGGATTTTTTTTTCCTCCTTTATGATGGAGTTGCTGCCCTTGCCTGCCTCAGCAAGGCAAACAGCTCAAGGGGACGCCTCCGAATGAAAGCAACAACTTTTAGGACAAATTCCTCTCCGCATAATGTCTCAGAGAGAGCAAGGAAAGGAGATGGCAAGCGGGCCTAATTAGGTAAGTATTACCCATTAGGAAGGGGAAGGAGCTATCAAGTCGATTCCCATTTCCTTCTTATTTTTCACGCCTGATTTTTCCGCCTCTCCAGGAGGTGGTGTGTGAAGTGGGTCTCTCCTTAGCTGGGAGAAGTAAATAATCAGAACATGATGCGCTCCGAAGCTCTTCCCAAAGCTTTCCAGCTGGACTAAGCTGAGGATTTTTAGCATCTTCACAAGCCTTCCAGCCTTCCAGGAACATTCCAGCATCCACGAGACCTGGTAGGGATTTATTTCCCCACTTCGTACAAGGGAACCAAGGCACAGGTGGGCAGCAGGATTTGTGTATTCCATAGGTGTCCTGTACATATTTCTTTCTGTTTTATCTATTCTGCCTGGAAGCAGAGATGACTTCTTGTCTCCTGGTTGCTTCCAAGTACAAACCTGGGTGTTTGCAGTGTGAACACGGGGAGGTACCCTGTGCTGCACTGGGATGAGCCCCCCAAATCACCACCTGCTCCACCCCTACCTGACCCCAGCGCATCCCCACATCCTCCTGGACACGGGACCCCCCCCTTTACTCCCGTGTTCCCAAAGTTCCTCTCCCGGCTGTGCTCTCTGTTGCCTCTTAGAACAACACATTGTAGCGTGGGCTGCAATTACGGAGCCATCAACGGGTGCCTGTAACACATTTTGGCAAGGAGAGGGGATGGTTTGTGCACCAGCCTGCAAGGGAAGCATTTTACTCCCCCCTTATCTTCCTCCCCCTGCTCTGGAGTTTGTGAGTGGTGTTATTAAAGGCTGTCGGGAACTGCTGTCATTGGCACAGTCAATGGCTGACACAAGGCAGCCCTCAGACTTTGACTCATCACACACACACACACACACACACTCTGCAATGCATGAGCCACAAAGAAAAAAAGGCAGTTTCTCACATGCATCACCCTTTTTCCAGCTGTTTGAGCCCTTTTTTGCATTCGTTTCAGAGAAGAAGTCTTGATTGTCCCGCAGTCTAAGCAAGAGATTTGGGTTGCATCGTGGTGCCCGCACGTTTCCAGCTCTCTCGTCATCTCATAGTGGAAGTTGTGGTCTCTTTTTCCTTAAATACAACTACGTGCATCCATATATATATATATATGTGTATGTTTTATACATATACATAAAAATACACATTTATATGCACATTGCTACACACAAATGCAAACTACACATGGTTAGAAAATGCCAATCTGTTCACCCTGCACTTCTCACAGATCACTGCCAAGTTTCCCCTCACAGTTCAGGAAAGGTTTTGCAGGTCCAGATTTCTGGAGAAGGAAGAGCAGCCTTTCTACACAAGCCAGAGTTGGGAGAGATTTAGGACAAGCCCAGTTCTCCTTTTTTCTCCAGCATTCCTTGGTCAGACGCTGGTGGGAGAGGGATGTTTTCCAGCCTGTAATGAGGAGAGGGAAGAAAGGAAAGAGTTTGAGGTTTTGCTTCACCGCAGAACTGGGAATGAATAGAGCAATCTTGGACAAACCTTTGTGTCTGGGAATGTGGCTCCATTGAGCTTGGCTGCTTTAATTCTTTTCAGAAGGTGCTGGTCCTGGCTCTGCTGATGGCAAAGGGGTCTCTGGGGGGCTGTCGGGGGGGGGGATGAAGGTTGTGCACCGCTTCTCATCCCTCCAAGTGGCTCGGCTGGAGCTCGACCACGAGCACTCAAGTGGGGCAGCACAAGGTGCCACGAGCCTGGAGGACATCCCAAGCAGATTGCAGCTCTGTGACAATCTGCTTTCCCAGTCCTTGGTTGTGCACGGGCTCCTGCTCACACAGACGTCTCCGTGGCTCCCGCTGGTCAGTGCACAGGATGCTTTGGTCCATATTTCCCTCCATTAACAGCCTTGCTGGCCACACAGACTCCTTTCCTGCTCTGCTTCCCCTCTTTTCCAGGTGTTTGTCTGTGTGGAGGATAATTTTGATGCTTTTCCATACCCGCACGAGGTTATGTAAAAGTTACAGTGCGATGCTTGAAGGCTTTTCTCTCGGTGATTTGCCTCTTAGTTTCACTTGGGGGTTGTCTCCTCTCCTGTCTTGCTTCTTCTTCCCTGGTAACACAGGCAGCAGAATCAGCTTTATTTTATAATAAGCAAAAAGGTCTCCAGGTGCAGGTTTGTGCTCTCCTGTCTCTTCTCCACTGCTCTCTGCCAGGGGGTGACTTATTTCACCACCCATAATTAGCCTCTCCCAAGGTCTCGCTGTTGCTGGGCCGAGGCAGAAGGTTTTACAGCAACTGCCTGTTCTCAAACACAGAGAAAAATAATCCCTTCCTCAGCCCAGCATTAGGAGGGAGAGGATTTTCCACTGTTTTATGCTGCTGCTAAAGCAGAGTGGTTGGCAGGAGGGACCCGAGGTGGCCCATGGCAGGGCTGGGACGTGGTGGGGAAGGTGGATAGAGGATGGAGGATGTGTGTGTCAGCCTCCCCCTGCAGAGGAAGGAATCAAATATCTGCCCTATATCAAATACCAAGCTGGATTCCTGTGGGACTGAGTTATTGGTGAGGAGGAAGCTGACCTTCTCTTGTGTTTATGAACTGAATCTCTAGTTCACTTTGGGTTTGATTTTTTTTTCCTCCCTCCTGTTACAGAGTGCAATACTCCATTTCAAAGGAAATAACATTTTCTTCATTTTCTCCTTTGCTGTGATTTTTTTTTTTTTTAATGCTTCTCAAGATGAACAGACTTTCTTCCCTTTGGCTCTCTGTGCTTTATACGTGACTTGTCACACTGGAAGTGGATGTTGCTGCCCATGTGTGGGGGGGTCCACGAGCTATGCTGGAGCTCAGGGATATTCCCCTGCTACAAATTCTCCTGGAGCTGGGCAAACACATTACTATTTTAGTAGTCACACCCCAGCAAGTTTGAGAATTAAAAATCCTCATCATTTTCCTTACTGCCACACAGATCTGTCCTTCTTCCTCCTGGCTATCTTATCTCCAGCCCTCCCTGATATGGTTTTTGCTGCAAATCCTTTCCTGCAAGAGCTGGTCTTGAGCGCCTTCAGAGCAGCAAGTCCTTTGGAGCCCCATTTCCTTTTCCTTCCTCTTCTACCTGTGGAGAGCAGATTTTTGGAAGCTCAAGAGCTCTGTTCTTCCTGCTCATGGGTCCCTTGGAGATAGTTGAAGCTACTTTGTTGAAGTTCACAGGTGACTTTTGAAACCCTCGGCCATTGCATTCATGTATATATATATATAAATATATATATATATAATATCTCTTCTCTCTTCCCTCCTGTTTTCTTTCTTTGTCAGGAATCCAGCTGTGCAACATGTGGCACTTCTAGGACTTGGAAGGCAGGAAGATCAAGCAAACACAGAGCTTTCAGCAAGAAGAGATAAATTTCCAGAATAAATTCAGGCCACGTAGGTCTCAGCCTGTTTTAGTCTTAAAGCCCTGCTGGTAGTGATGTGTGGGAGCTGCAGATATAAAGCCAGGGAGAGAAGAAGAGTTTATTTGTATTATTTCTGGCACCTTGGTAGAAAAACCTCTGCTCTGAGTTCGTGGTGCTTGGCACAATGTCTGTCTGCACGGGCTGTCACGGGGAAACCGCCTGTTGAGCGTTACCTTCCTGCATGGCTTGAAGGCAGGGGAAAAAAGGGAATTATGAGAGGCTGAGAGAGCGTTATAACTGGGAGAGGAAAGTGCCAGATTAGTGGGGGTGTATGGGATGCAGATGGCCACAGAGGAGAAATGTCTTGTTATTAATAACCCATTGAATTGCAATTTTACACCTGTGTTTGCCGCTGCGTTTTTTTATCGCAGCGCTGGGTGTCTGGCAGGAGCACAGTTGTGGGCTGTGGGCTCCCTCCTGCAGGCAGCTGCTGGGGATTTCCTAGTCACTGCAGACACACAGAGGACAGGGCAGGGTTTGGTGTGCCCGGGGTGGTGAGCCATGACCATGGATTTGCTGCAGTGTGGTTTGGTGCCGTGCTCCCAGTCGTGTTTGCTGACACTGACACAGGAAGTCTGGCCAAGGGAGTTGCTACGTGGACTTGTTGATTTTTCAGAGAATGTTTTGGGTTAGAAGGGACCTTAAAGATCATCTGGTTCCAACCCCCTGCCATGGGCAGGGACACCTTCCATTATCCCAGGTTGCTCTAATCCCCATCCAACCTGACCTTGGACACTTCCAGGGATCCAGAGGCAGCCACAGCTTCTCTGGGCAACCTGTGCCAGGGCCTCACCACCCTCATAAGGAAGAATTTCTTCCTAACATCTGATCTAAACCTGCTCTCTTTCAATTTAAAGCCATTCCCCCTTGTCCTATCACTCCATGCCCTTGCCAAAAGTCCTTCTTCTTGGAGAAGTCCTTTTTTTCTGTTTATCACTATGTTTTTGTTTTACTAGACTAAAATAAGTAGAAAAGCCCAGAAGTGGCCCCTGGATGCACTCCTCAGGTCTGCCCCAAAAAGCCCAAGAGCACCAGGTACAGACCAATGTGACATTCACCCTCATGCCACCACTAACAACCTAAACTTCATTTCCCTCCCTCTTCCCATCTGCCTTTTTTCCTCTAGTCAAAACAAAAGAGTTACAGGTTCTAACTCTTGAATTCAGGGTAAATTTCAGCTCAGCCTCCCGTCTGAGTGGATGCCTCATGTCATTAAAATCCAACTGCAGCCACCCAAACCTGCCCAGCTGGCCCCAAGCTGTGTGTCCAGGTCATGCAGGAGCCAGGACAAGGTACTGTGTCCTCCAGCCCTTTACCCGAGGCCCCTGGGGGCTGGAGCACAGATGATGTTTTCCATGAGCAGGGAGGATGATCCTACATTGTGTGGGAACAGCTGTGACTGCGTCCCTGAGGGCAGAGGTGCATGGGCACAGGTCTACAGCTTTTTACAGCATCTGAGATTTGTGTGACACTCAAAGTGCATCTGTGGGGTTCTGTGGGGTGAGGGAAGAGTGTAACAAGTCCTGTTTTGGACAGAGGGATGAGTGGGAGCAGGAGGGCAGGCTTGCCCTCTGCAGTGTGGCTTGTGGGGGCTGGAGTGCACATGGATCCAGTCCAGTCTTACTCTTTCAACACCTGAGCAGCTGCTTTATAGTGTTTCTTCAGGTCTTAAAGCCTGTGTGTTATCAAGGCCTCCATTTCCTATGAGCAGGATTTTATGAACAGAGATGACCTTTCCACACCCCTCACACTGAAAACACCCCTTGTCTCAGCCACAGGTGCCTTTAGCCTGTGTGAGCAGAGATGAACAAAGCAGATGGTGTTGGGATCTGGATGAAATTAGAGTTTTGCTTGCAGCTGACCAAGCAAACAAGTAACTTTCTTCTGGGTAGCACAACCCAGATCTGAACCCCCTGGTTGTTACAAACCCATAAAGTGTCTTTTGCAGACTGATGGGCTCATGTGCCCCTTTCTAGTGCTGGGCTTTCTGTGGAACACCTATCCTAACACAGCTAATGCTTTGTGGTGATGGATCTGCAATTATGAGGCTGTGCAGACAGCTAAAACAATTGCATCACCCTCCTTGTGGCTGCTCTGGGGTGATTTGTTGGGTTGTTGTTAGCACTAGGCGTGATTTGTGCAAACGAAGGGTCAGATCTGTGAAGTGCAGGGCACCTGCAGCTTCCATCCATGCCTGAGTGGCCCAGGGGAGATATTTATGGAAGGGAAAGGGGAGATTTTACCTTTCATATGGGTGTTTTGGAGCAGCAGCAGCAGCAAGCTACCAACATAGTGCCACTGCTTGATGGCAGCCTGGCAGTGTCTCCTCTCGAGGTTGGAAGCACAGGGATAAATTGCAGAAAGCTTTAGCAGCAGAGTGGCCTGGTCAGACACCTCCTCCCTGCTTCCCTCAGCCCCACAGGCTGGGTGCCAGCAGCAGGACTCTGTGCCCTATCATTTCAGGACAGCCTGGGTGCATCCATGTGCACTCCCAGCTGAACAAGGTGACCACTGAACTGTTTAAAGCAGTTCCAACAACACTCGAGTGTGTAATGCCACTAATTCTGCTGATGCTGGCAAAGTGCTGGTGCAGTGGATGGGTTTGAGACTGATGGGAATCTGTCACTCTGGAGACATTAGGATGTGTGTTCCTCAAACATGCACCAGACGAGATGATAATAGAGAAAATCAGCGACAAAGGAGGTTCCCCTGGTGCTGCAAAATAGTTGTTGCTGTGGCACTGAGTTTGGAATTACAGCATGGGCTGTAGCTCTGTGTTTGTCTTACTGGCTCTGTGTGATCTTGGCCAAGTCAGAGAATTATTGACTGGTTTGGATTGAAGGGGCCTTAAAGCTTACCCAGTCCCTACCCCCTGCCACTGGTAGGAACAACTTCCACTTTCCCAGGTTGCTCCAATCCCTGTCCAGCCTGGCCTCTGACACTTCCTCTTCATCCTGCTGGACCTCTGTCTCTCTGAGGTGTTCCTACACTGAAAATTCTGGAGGTGGGGCCGTGCTCTTAGGATGGACACTTTGATAAGAGCTCCTGGTTGCCCTTGCAAGCAGCAATGTGTTATTTTACTGGGGGGAGCTGGAAAGACCCTTTGGGGACAAGGTGTGATGTGCTGGTGTGACCTGTGGTGGGAAGGCAAAGTAACAGCAGCCTCATGTCATCAGGCTCTGTGCCACCCCATGCTCCCAGGGCATCCATGTGGATTTAACATATATGGGAATAATCTCTAAATAAGGGCTGCTGCTCCTGATCCTGGAGGTACTCAGCTTGGGCTGTTATATACTCTATACTACATGCTACATTTTATATATTACATATAATATGTGATTTATAACACATTATATATTATATTTTGTATTATATCTCATATAACTGTATGATAAATGATATATTGAGCACCACAGTTTACTTACTGAAAGGAACCAGGGGACTGAGACTCTGCTGTGGGAATCTTGGGATTGAGCTGGTGGCTAAGGAATCATAAAATCATCTTGTTCCAATCCCCTTTCATGGGCTTGGACACCTTCCACTGGGCCAGGTTGCTCATCAGGAGCATGTCCTACTCCTCCTATGTTGGTAGCCCAAGTGCTGTCTGATCCATCCTAGGGCCAGTGGAAAAGGCAAAATCTTTCCTTGCAATATATGTGTTATTAGATGCTCTAACTTGGCAAAATTCAGACAGACTTTTATCATGCCCAGAAGGGAAGTACCCTCCCAGTTTTTACTACCTGCTCCAAAGCATGGCAGCTTTCCAGCAAGGCAGTGGAAAGAATACAACTGAGGTCAAATATAGAAAAAAAAAAAAATTAAAATCAGTAACTTGCTAAAACTTTTCTCCTAATTTAGTCCTCAGCATTGCCCAAGTAATTGTGAATGCAGCTTTTCATGGCCATGTCAGCCCCAGGCAGACACCGAGCTCAGGGAAAGGTCCCCTGAGTGGTTCAGGTCTGTCAAAGTAATTGGGACCTCAAAACTGAGCCTTGGCACAGAACATGTCAGCCAACCTGAGCTCTAGGTGTTGCTGCTAAACTGGCTGGAATTATGCATGCACACAGTGCCCTGCACTGGAATTACATAATTTTGTGCAAAAATAAATGTGTCTGCATTCTGTACAGGATGGGTTTGTGTACCTTCCTGCAAAAACAGCCTGTGTGTGTGTGTATACAGCAGCTCTCTTCTAATCTGCTTGTTAACAAACATAGCATGTGATTATCTTTTTTACCCATGTGAGCACTGCTCTGTCTCCTGCCTGTCTCTGATCCTGGCCATAGGTGGCCTGTCCAGCTCAGCAGTATCTCGAGACTCTCCAGCATGATTTGGAACTAGTTATCCTGCAGCAACAGCCGGGCAGGGCTCTAAGAATAACTTCCCATTGGCCTTTGTGTGTGTTGGCAGAAGCTGGGCTTGTCCTGCCTTGCTGTGACAAAGTCACTGGAAGAGAAAATTAACAGCAACTTAGTATTAGTTTATCCAGGTATTTATTTTTTGAATGGGGGGTTGAATTTTGCTGGAGAAAATTACAGCAGCTTAGTAATAGTTTATCCAGGTATTTACTTTTGGAACAGGGTGGGGGTTGAGTTTTGCTGCTGATTCTCTGCTGAAAGTGCCTGTTGTGATTGTCCTGTGTCATCTGTAAAAAGGGACATCGTGGGACCGTGGTGGGATGGATGTCAGACTGCTTTTTATTTTATTTTTTTTCCCCTTGAAACCTTCACAAAGCTGCTGCTTATCAGGGCTGTGCCCACACTGCCTCATCACAGCTCAGCACAGGGAGGAGAGTCCATCCCCAGTGCTGCTGCTGGGCTGGAAATTGTGTCTCAGCTGGATGTCCCTGCTTGAGCAAACGGGGCTCTCCATCAGAGCCCTGTCCCTGCCTCTGTCTTTTGGATCTGGGGGCAGCTCAGCTGCCCTTCAGCCTGCTGAAAAAATCCAACTCAAGTGGGGACAGAAGCTTTTAAC